GGGACGGGACGGGACGGCGGCTGTGGTGCGGGGCACGACGCCGACGCGCGTGGAGAGGCGGGGGCGTGTGTCCCGCCGGGCGGGGTATAGCCCCTGTGGCGGACTCGGTTCAAGGCGTTCAGAGCGAGGACCCGGTAAAAGTGCACTTAACACACTAGGCTGTCAGGTACTTGCCCATTTGTTTGTCTCTTAACCTTCACGATCCTAGTGTGAAATAGTGAAAAACTAATTCTTTTTTTTTTTTGAGGCTGGTCGAGCAGAGTAGAGCAGCGACTGCCAAATCACCAAAATGGGGAGTGGTGTTACTACACGGGAAAAAAAAAGAAGTGTTGAACATCAGACAACTGCTGTTTTATGTATTATTGGTTCATGTTTTTCCTTAAAGCCTTTTTGTGGCTTTGGGCTTTGAACTCACAGGTCTAGCTGCGTGAACGATGATGTAGCTTAGCAGTCCCGCTGAAGTCCAGCCATCTATGGCTTGTTATCAGGGTGTTTTAGCAGTAATGTCAGTTTTTATCCAGTAATGTTAGAACAGTAAAAAGGGAAGGCATGGTTTTGTTCGTTTCTTTTACTTAGAAGTTAATTACAAAATTATAGAAACTGAACTCCAAATACAGACTTATTTTCAAGTAAAAACATCACTCAAGTCTTCTTACTAGCATGAATAGGAATAAAAATTTGAACCATTTGAAAAATGGTTATGTTGGTGTAGCTTTTGTATCTAGACAAACTCGTTGTATTGTGGGGATGGAGCCTTCTTAAAAACAGATCACAAGATGTCTTTTCATGAGCAGTTCATTAATTTTGTCAGAAATGATCTCTGATCTTTTCTCATGAAGGTATTTTTGCATGAGAATTTGCAGAGGCATATGTGGATGAATATTTAAAAAAAAAAAAAAAGCTTTGTTCTTGAACTTCATAGGTGCATTCCTGATAAAGAAGATTGCGTTCCCATCTTATGTTTTTCCTGTTTTCCACTTGCTGAACAATGCTAAGGAGCACAAAGCAGGATAGAACCAAAATAATAATAATAACCCTAATCTGAGTCAGATAGTGTTTTCCTCTGCCATGCGTCAGCTTCATTGAACCCTTCCTCAAGTATGTCCTCTGGATGGGCAGGTCCACTACCAAAGCCAGCATGTTTACTCCAGGGCAGTAGATTTTAACACATTATGTTTCACAGAAATGCAATGACTGCAAATTTAAAATAGGAAAGAATTTGAGTGAAGGTGAAAAAAATCTTCCATTAGGCCATTATGGTCAAACAGTAATTGCAAACTGTCGCAAACAGTGACAATTCATATTGATGAACTTGTTCCAACTCTGGACTTTTGTATCACCAGTGCTTTTAAAAAGATTGTTCTTTGGTTGTGTTGATGTCTCATGTTTTTGTTGATGTAATTCAGTGTTTCATTATATGGTAAAGAAGATTACCTAATCAGATGTAACATGATCCAATAATGAAAGTTTCTACAGCTCTTAAGAAATTACAATGTGATTTTACATTTCCCTTACAAAACTCTTACAATGGGAAAGTTTGCCTCCTGCCCTGTCAATTAAATTGCCTTTTATTAGAGCAATCTTACCAAGTAGAAGAATGCATTAATTACAACCTAATTATCCATCGTTTGCTTTTTTTCATAAGAACAAAATCTTTC